TATCAAATTGTCTGTCAATGGGCTGAAATAATTAAATGAAATTTTATCAAACTCTTCATGTCTACAAGTCTAAGAATCACAGACTTTTTAAAATCAAAGAAGGGATAACACTCATTAAATCTGCTTTAAGACTTTACTAACAGTCTGCCATCCTGTGCTGGAATATTGCTCTAATGGAGCACTTCCTACCTCACAATTTCATATATTCAGTTGTTGAAATGCTCCATGATAAACATATATATTCTTTCCTTCCACTGAGCTGAAATGGATCTCTGGCCATGACACAGGTTTGTCTTCTGGAGCAAAAAAAGAGCAAAACATTCTTGGGTTCTTTGCACAGCCTTCAATACTTAAAAGCAGCTACCCAGTTTTCTGCATCCTCCCTTTCCCTAGTGAAATTACCTCAGTGCCATTAATATGAGATGGTTCCTAGGTCCTTCTTCAGGGTTACCTGCTTCTAAATTATCTCTCATTTGCCACTCTCCCTATTTTATTGTAGCACTCAGTGAAGTATGTTACACAATGTACTATATATGATTTGGTAAAATAGTTTAAAAGATCGCATAAAGACTTCTTTTGTTTTTCTTAATTTCCATTAGGTTAAGTGCTAAATATTGTGTCATTACAAATATTTTAAAAAGTGCTGACATATTAGCAAGTTTTCAATGATGTTAAATGAAGATTTGTATTGTATCTGTAATTTAATTATACTTTACTCCACCTTACACAAAGGGTTTTAACATAAATTTTGATTATATATTGTTTAGCTATTTTGAATACTCATATAAATTTCTGGTGCCTTCTATTTTAATGAAAAACTAACAATAATCAATGCTTTCCCTAATTCAGATCGGCCTGCCTTTCTTATTTTTAGTGGTTTTTAAATTAAGGGATTATGCCTAGGATGGTACATTTCTATGAACTATATCAAATTGAAATTCTCCCAATGCAAAATTTAAAATATTACTATATATATACAAAGTTTCATTCCTGTGGAATGTAACTGGATATTTCCATTAAAACTATCAATAAGTACACAAAGATTCTTTTGAATGGATTTGTTGTTTATGCCAGTTAAATTCTGACATCTCTTAAAAACTAAGTATATGGTTGTATTACTGTTTTTCAGATTATAAATGAAATAATTCTGCTATTTTAAGTTTTAATTTATTTTGATATGTTATGATAGTGCTTAAAGTAATTCCTACAACTGAGCAAAAATAAATATTGGTTATTGTCATATTACTACCAATTTTATGCTTTCAGATGAATGCACTTATATTACTGGCAAGGTGAAATCTTGTATGAAATATAGGTGGCTCGGTATGTGCTAGAGTGGCTTATATTGAATCAATACTTGGTTCTATTCTATTCTGATTCAGTTACACCAATGCCATCTTAGCAAAGAAGCACTCAGATTAAAGTAGCCACATTGTTTCCAATACCTTTATCTAAAAATGTTTGTTCATAGTGAGACTGAAGCATAAGAGTTAGGATAAAGATGAATGATATACTTCTATTATATTGAATTTAGATTTGGTGGAAATATTTTAAATTCATCCATAGTATTTCTGACCATTATTTTCTTGTCAATATTAGAGAACTCAACTTTTGTAAGGTAAATCACACTAAAGAAAAAACTATCAATGAAACAATATAGAGCATCACAATTTTATTAAAATAGTTTGCACTTTAAAATAATTTAATCCTAAAAATTTAAGGATCACATATCCATAGGATGGTATACAGTGAAGAATACAAGCTTTTATTATAAAAAAGTATACAAAAATTCTGTTTTGGCTTTCAAAGCAGAAGGAAGATGTGAAGAGGAGATCATGCACAGAGAAAATCTAGAAGATTCCCTTTCTGATCCCAGTTCTGCCACAGTTAACATGGTGGTGTTAGATAAGGCTTAGCTTATGTAGTGACTCCAATGTCCTCATCTCTGAGGACATCTTCAGTTATCTTTCATGTGCTTTCAGCTCTAAAATTCTCTCATTTAAGAAAGAATCATGACGAGCCTATAAATGATTTCTATCTGTTGCTAAACTAGTTTGGCTCTTTATTTGTTATTATTGTATTCTAAAGCTATTTTTAAATTTTAAAAGAAAATCGCTCTGCATTTTGAAATACTGTTGTTTTGCTGAGAAGCAAGTCACCTTTTAAGGTATAAAAACCATCTCTCTGAAGCAGTGGTTAAATTATAATAAGTTGGAATCTCTTAAAATGATCTAGCCCATTGAATTCACTGGCTTTATTTTGTGAAATGTTTACCTTTCTGTAAACAGAATCAGCAAGAAAAGTACTTTTTGAGCTGATTAAAATGAGTATTTTTAAGGAGATAATTTTACTAGGATAGTTTTTAGTAGGACAACTATAGTTTTAAAGGATCAACTATAAAAATATTTGATTTCATATGACTTTGCAATAATCCAGAAAAAACCTGATATTGATGATAGTATATTGTTACCCTCATTTTCTTGATACAGTTTAGTGGTCAAACTTAACCTTTTTTTTCTCCTTAGTTACACCAACTTTTGAATATGAGCTCCAGAAATTACAGTATTGATCAGTACTATTCACAATGATAAGAAGCATTTGTATAGGTACACAATATGAAAACCTTTTTGTGTGGTTTCCTCTGTATACAAGCTAAATATTTTATTTATAATTTTAATGAAAAAATGTAAAGTTAAAATTCTGTAGATGCAGGTCTGTTCTGATACACACGTGCACACTTAATATTGAAGTATAGTTGTGGAAATAGTCATGGCTTTCCCTCAAATTTTTACTGTCCTTGCTTGGTGTGATAATCTTAACTTTCAAGTAAATGTGTATTTTGTTTGAAATTTGTAAACTGTAGAAACGCTAATTAAAAACTCATTTTATTAGCATGTGTTAAGACGGGTTTCTTATTTTCTGACTAACATTTCAATATTTTTGATTATGAAAAACCATGTAACACAGACTCATGAATTTTGGGGCAGTGGAAATTATTTCCTTTGACTCTTTTTTCTGCATATCATCAATTTGCTTTTTACTCATGTTTCTTCTACTGTCGCTGTAAGCTTACTTGTTGTTTTTTCTTTCCTTTTCTTCATGCTGTCGTTTAGAGCCCTACAGAGAGACAAGTATGGGAGTAAAGCTAAACATTGCATATCAAATGTAATTTTTTTTAGTTCACTTTTATTGCATCACATATAGATGATGTAGTTATTAAAAACAGTTCATCTCACAATTTAAAAACTAAAGAACCTATGAATCGATTATATAAATATATGTTAATAGAGATTAGACGCTTTTGTTGTCTGATTCTTTTATTGTGTCACATACTCAACATAGTTAAGTCTCATGTAATGTTTGTGTGAGTTAAATTGTTTTTAAATTGAGCATTTATTTTTGCTAAGTAATTCATCAATTTTAATTTTTATTAGTACCTTTCATCATATAAATATATGTCACATGCAGCATACCCACTTTATTTTAGTATGGCTGTTTCAACCTGTATCTAATGCATTGACAACAGAATAAACCTGTGTTTCAATGCATCAGTCACTAGATCATAACCATCAAGCATCCCATAGCAGCCTCTGCAGCAGCAATCACCCATCACATATGGCCCTTTGAAAAACATTTACTTTTGTTTTTTTCTTAACATTGTGGATTTGTCTAAAAGATATCTTATAACATGAAAATAAATTGCTTCACCCTATGTCTGTGATGGCTGTCTTTTAATGCATCTTCTGCATTGCTGTTTTTGAAAACTGTGTTACTTGTTGACTTCTGAAATCCATATGAAAATTGGTATATTTGGAACACTTTATTTAAACCAACGATTTTCAGGTCAGTTTTGATAAACATAATTGCATCACAGATATAGAATGAATGCTATATTTTCACAAGTTAATAGTGTATTAAGAAGTTTAATAAAATTCTTCAATTAATTGTTCTGTAAAGAAATGCCCTCTCTTATTTACCAATATTGGTTAAATGTTTGTGTTTTTTTTTTCTTTTGTGGTTGCATTTGAAGCGATTTATGGAACTATTTTAGATTCTTGGATTTCTGTTCATTAAAGAGAATGAAAAAAAAAAAAACTTCAAGAAGCATGTGGTCAAATCTTTTACACTGCAGCTCTTTCCTTACAAATAAAATATTTGATTTCTTTTAAACCCAAAGTTTATATGCACACAAAGTCATCACCTATTAAGAAATGAAACTTCTAATAATGACACTATGTTTTTAGGAATCAAATCCCTGTGTCTTTACACATTCTTTTGTTGTATTACCTAATAACCCTAAATAATCTCTAATGAATTAATATGTAATAGTAACCAAAGTGCTTTTAGCAGAAAAAAAAAGTAAATCCAAATATTTTTGTTTTCAATTTTCCTATGTGAAAATTATTTTGATGTGCCATTTATTTGACTAAGTATTATTTATGACTACATCATTCTGACAAATTTAACATAATCCTCTTGTGGTTTTGAGTGTAAGATTATTTTTATTTCTTATAAAATTACACATCAATTTATTAGAAACTGTCTCTTTTACTTTTGAGCAGTATATTCAAACTACCACATATGAATTATGTTAATATTATTCCTGTTTTAATGTTAAGGCAACATATAAAATTATAGGTAATGAATTATGGAATTGACTTTGATGTGTATAAATTGAAAGCTACAAATGATTACACCAAAATTTTGTATTATTTTTTCTAAGTTATTACCAAATATGCTGCAAATAACGTCAGGCAATGTTTGTGTGGAAATTGCAAATTTATATATAGTACTTTTTAAATTCTTTTAAATATTTACTCTAAATACTTCTTTTCCATTTATAAGATTTCAATCGTCCAAATAATATGTACATTAGATGTAATTAAAAATGCTAGCAATTTATACATCATAGTTGAATGTTTTTGCTTCTGTGTGTGTGTGTCTGTGTGTTCTATGGTCAGTTGGATATAAATGTCATAGTGTTTTGTAATCTTTTTCAGAGGGGCTTCTGAACAATGCCAGGGATACAAGTGTCATGGATACTCTACCACTGAATGGTAACCATGGCAATAGTTACAGCATTGCCAGTGGCGAGTACCTGAGCAACTGTGTGCAAATTATAGACCGTGGCTATAACCATAACGAGACCGCCTTAGAAAAAAAGATTCTGAAGGAACTCACTTCCAACTATATCCCTTCTTACCTGAACAACCACGAGCGTTCCAGCGAACAGAACAGGAATCTGATGAACAAGCTGGTGAACAACCTCGGCAGTGGAAGTGAAGATGATGCCATTGTCCTAGATGATGCCACCTCCTTTAATCATGAGGAGAGTTTGGGCCTAGAACTCATTCATGAGGAATCCGATGCTCCTTTGCTGCCCCCAAGAGTTTACTCCACAGAGAACCACCAGCCACACCATTACACCAGAAGGCGGATCCCCCAAGACCACAGTGAGAGTTTTTTCCCTTTGCTAACCAACGAGCACACAGAAGATTTCCAGTCACCCCATCGGGACTCTCTCTACACCAGCATGCCAGCACTGGCTGGTGTGCCTGTCACAGAGAGCGTTACCACCAGCACCCAGACCGAACCCCCACCGGCCAAATGTGGTGATGCCGAAGATGTTTACTACAAAAGCATGCCAAACCTAGGCTCCAGAAACCACGTCCATCAGCTGCACACCTACTATCAGTTAGGTCGCGGTAGCAGTGATGGATTTATAGTTCCTCCAAATAAAGATGGGACCCTTCCGGAGGGAAGTTCGAAAGGACCTGCTCATTTGGTCACTAGTCTATAGAAGATGACACAGAAATTGAAACCAACAAAACTGCTAACACCTGGTTGACTGTTTTGAGTTGATATAAGCAGTGGTAATAATGTGTGTACTCCTAAATCTTTATGCTGTTCTTGAGAGACAAACACAAACTTTCTGACTTCCTTTTTTTTTTTTTTTTTAAACTGGGAATTTTTAGGTCAGCCCAGGGGAGAAAGATAACTGCTGAAATCCCCCTGTGCCCTATCCTTTCCTATCCTTGCCCCCTCAGATGGAGACTTCATTATGTTAATGAACGAGATATGAAGAAAATGGCACTCATTGTGGCCTTGTTGAATTATGTTGTGTTTGTTCTAATATCTCTGATCTCTGTTACTATGATTACAAGGACCTGATTTTTAAAAGGCCAGAACAGTTGTTTGAAATTAGTAACAATGCCGCATCTAGATTGGAGTGCTGTACAAACAAACATAAAAGCAAAGCAAAACTGTATTGCATAGTGGTTTTTAGGCACTGACAACCTGAATTCATCACAGCGGGAATCGCTGTGGAATACAAAACAACACAATTAATAATGAAATGGAGGGGAATTCTAGAAATATATGCTAAATGCATATTTTATGATTTGCTGTATTAACTGATGATAAAACTAATGACAGAAAAAAATTGAACAATTTCTATGTAATGTACAGATACTAGCATTGCACATATAGTCTGCTTTCTGTTCCTCCAGAATTTGAGTCCTGTTAATGTAGTGAAAAAAAGACAATTTTTCTTTTTCTTTTGTGCTGGTCTTGCAAGTTTGTCTACCAGTAAGAGAGCAAAGTTTCCTTCCTTTCTTCCTATTTTTCTTTCTTCATTTTCTTTCTTTTTCTCTTTTTTGCCTTTTTTTTTTAAATTTCACCTGGCAAAAAAATAAATAAATGAAACTGTCACTTTATAAGAATCATTTTCTAGTAATGCAAACAAATTATTTTTTACAGAAAATATAAAATAAATAAAATTAGACTTCCTTCCCTCACTATATATCTTTATTCAGTCAGACTACTTCCAAGAGCATTTTTGCAGATTAGAGCAGGACACACCTTTATGTTTACAGTGCACATCTGTTATAATACAAAGCATATTTGGCAAGCAGTTCTTCACAAAGACAGTAGCTATGACTCTAGAAGTCAAGAGGTGTCAATAGAACTAGTGGGGCTTCTGCATGTGAAAAAATGGTATCCCATAGGCGTTAAAGTGCTGAATGCTCAGTCTGATCCCCAAGTGGGCACCTGCACTACCAATTTTTAAAGGAAATTCACTCCCTTGTAGTAAAGAATTGAAAGGTCAAGTTACTTTGAAGTGATTAAAAAAAAACTCTTCTGTTTATTAACAGGAAAATTTATTTATTTCACAGGATTTTAAGTAATGTAGGATTACAACAGATAAATTAGCAGCACATATAATTTTTTTTAAATTTATGATCCATTTTGTATGGTCTCAAAGTTGAATGACCTCATTACTAATATTTGTTGTAAAAGTGAAACTTGTTTGCCAACCAATAAACAACTGATTGAGATTTAGAAGATATTGTATTGATGTATGTACTATATGATTAATTATTCTTTTTATTTTTCTCACCTTTCTTTGCTTCTATTTTCACTATATAAACTTTGCTAATGTGTGATAGCCCAATGAGCCATACTAAAGAAATCAATCTGCCTAGATGAATACCCCAAGCACAAAATTTTACAGATTCTGCAAAGTAAACCAGAAAAAAATGGGATGGGCATGTTTATGTTGGTTAAAATAGGGTGCATAACATACTAGCAGGTTAATATATGTTATTATGTGCTTATTTATAAACCAGCTGTAGTCCTCTGCTTATTATAATACCATTTTCAACCAGAGATTTAAATATTGATTTTTTGTAGTGTTGGAGATCATATTTTATCTTCCTTGTAAGCTCCATTTCAGTAGTCAAAATTGAAATTCACTCAGTTTGATAAGAGCTGCAGGAATCTGACAATGAGACTATCCATTTTAAAAAATAGTTTAAGACCTTATTATGCTAGCTATTTGTTGTTTTTGTTGTTCTTTATATTTCAGGGGGGATAAAGTTCTTTCAAGACACTTTTTTAGCCCTCCAGTTACTGAAGAACCTTTATCGGCAGTGTCTAAACATGGAGTTACTCCTATGGCAAAACTAAAATGAACTTGCCAAATTACAATTTCTCTTATAGTATGTGACATCTTGGTGATTATTTTTTCTTTTTTTTTCAAAAATCTAAACACCACTCACCTATGAATTAATTTTTAAAATTAAGATGAAAAGAAGTAGTTTAGAGACCAGCTAGAGATTTGTGTATATATTTCTAAAATATGTGACAAAAGAAAAATTCTGTGCTGGGCCAGAGTACATCATAACCTTAATATCACCTCAAAATATTTTATGCGTCATTCTGTTTTCATCACTCGACATGAGTATTTTTAGTCTATAGATTTTCTATAAGTTGCAGGAAAACCACAAGTTTTAATGGTAATTAGTCTTTTGCATACCCCATATGGCAATGTTAGGGTTAATTTAGTTGATACGTAGAATACATCTGGTAATGAAAGAACATTTTTAGACACAATTAAGGTAACTTCAGAAACACAAATGTGGTATGTGGTTTTGAGCACTTATGCTTGTGTTGCCAATCCATCAGTAATCTATATGAAAGCAACTCCATCAATAAGGAGCTAGTTTCACAGAACAATGGGGAAACTACCTCAATTCAGCTTGCTGATTCTTATTATTTTTCTGATATTGCTACCTCCCTGCTCATTATCTTTTGTGTTTCACTATATGGAAATTTGAAACAGGTAGCCTCTCAGCTCTACATAAACCAAATTGAAGAAAAACATTTGAATACATACACTGGTGCAGATCGTCATTCAGTACTACCAAGCTCTTGCATCAAGATGAAAGGGTGTGAGTTTGGAACTCTCATACATGATAATAGCTGTGCTTTCAGAGACACTTGAAATCTAAGGACATTCACAGGAAGTGATTGTTACCCCAAGTTCTATGTGACTATAACAAAAACAATCAGTGGACAAAGGAGTTAATTATGCACACAATTCAACAGAAATTTGTGTATATCTCACATGTATTCACTTAATCCTCGTTACACCAAGCAAGGGTTGAACTCCTGACCCTGAATCTTTTTTACTTGCATTTTCATGTATAGTTATTGATAAATTAATAATGTTTAAAATTTCCTTGTTTGTCCACCTTTGGTTGACTCTATTTTCAATACCCTGTGGCATTCATGATCCACTTACCTGCATTTGTCTAATGTGTTTGATTTACCATTAAGAAGCAAATTTCCATCAAGCAGATATACTATGCATATGTACATGTTTACATATGCATATGTACATATGTTTACATATGTACATGTTCGTAGATATACTATACACAATGTTTGGCTAGCTGGGAGTAAAAATTATACCAATGAAACTAACCAATTATTATTTTCCAGTAAAATGATATTTTTATAACATTTTACACTTGAATTTTTTTTCCCATCGAAGTCTATTTCTCTTATACTTTGTCAGGACACTGGCTAGTTTTTTATCCCACAATTTTAGTTGATTCCAAATGTTGGATTGTGACATAGCCCATGTTCCTAATTGATAATATTTATGGAGAAATCTTAACTTTTGTAAAGGAGAAATAAATTAAAATTCTAATTAAATTTTTGAGCATCCCTCTTTATCTGCATTCTATTAAAGTTAAAAAATAGTGTAGTAGTATAAGTGACTGCTAAAATCATCATTATGACAAATAACTGGTATGAGAACCATTATCTTGAAGTAAATATCAGGAAAACATACTAATCAAATGCAGGTAATGGAAAAACCCTTAACAAATAAATAATAGCTCTAAATTAAAGTGTAGTTTATAATTTGTCATTTTAAAATCTATTAATCTAAAAATGTTGATATACATGAAAGATTTTATTTAATATTGTTGTGACAAAACTTTTCACGATAATGGGGATAAACATGTAAGTATAAGGGAATTGGAAATATTTACAGTGACTCCATACATTTAATTTTAGGCAATGTCTTCCATATATTCCTTACACATGTTCAAGTTCACTGACTGGTTTGCTTACTTAATGGGTGACTTTAAAAACTTTGAAGACAGACTTTCTTCATTATTGTAGAGTCCAAAAAGAAAGTATAAATATTTCTTAAGTTATCTGAAATTCAATACCAAACTAATCAATAATCACCCCTTTTAAGTGAAATAATAATTAGTTTTTAGAAGTCCATCAGTTCTAAACCAAATGCAATCATTTACAATGTTTTTGAGGAATAAGAAAACACTACAGAATTACTGTACATGTCCATTCAAATTTAGTGAGAGAAAAAAAAAATCCAAACCCTACTTTAGTTTTGAGCAACTCTGAAAATTGACAACAGTATCTTTTCTTTGTTAATAATACTTGTGATAAAATAACAATATGTGTGGCCTTTCCAGCATATTGTAGTACCAAGATATTGAGACTTAATTAGCTTGTCTTGAGCAATTCATAATTATAACCCACCACATAAATAATTACCATGCACTCCTAATTAATACTTTAAAGATGTCTTTTGTTAGATTTTGCACGTTGATAAATTAGTTAGGAAATGGAAGCACAAGAATAAAGCAGTAACATTGCAAGTATCTTATGGCAGCATTTTTGTGCAAATGAATTCTACAGGAGAAGCTTCCTGAGCTCATAAAATAGGTTTGGAGGATCTCAACTATAAATTCAATTCTATAATCAGCAAATATGTCCTTTTTAAGCCATCTGAAAAACATTGCTAAGTATCTAAATTTTCATTTGCAGAATACTGGAAATTAAAGTGTTCATATCTACTTCTTTCCTGCTTAGGCTTTACGGGAGTACTTCCTATATACTAATTAGCCTGATTGCATTTCCCTCTTTGCTTTAAAAGTTAAATCAATTTTTAATTTTACCTGTATACATACGTCCCCTCTCTGATTCTCCTTATTTACAGTCAGCAGAGGAAATAACTTGTTTATAATACTGCAAACATTATTGACTTTTGCAAAAAAAAAGGTAGTGATTGGGACTAAATGTTCTCAGTTGAAATAGTTATTGATATTCCACCTTAAAAAAAAAAACATAGAGCTCAGCACTTCTTTAATATCTTAGGACTTAAAAGTTAATATTTAAATGTCTTGATTTTAACTGATTTAATGTTTCTCTTTATAGTGTTTCATGCATTTTTTCTCATTTAATAATGTGTGCCTCCTTAGAGTATTTCAAAAGTAACTGCAAACTATGACTTTTAAGAATGCATGTGAAAGGAGAACTTTGATTTATATGAAGAAGTCAAGGAAGACGGCAAGGAAAAAACCTCTGTTGGGATAACCAAGTCTTTTCTACCACAATATGAACAGAAAAAGAGAAGAATCATATTGGCAATTTATGGTTAGGTAGCAGTAGCTACATTAGAGTTACAGAGAATTTTTTTCAAGGAAAAAAATACCAAAATCATTTAGAGTGATAAAAATCTTAAACATTAAATTAAATGCTATTGATGTGTTAAAAATCAAAATGTACAATTGGAGTCCACCATACTTTAATTTTATCCTCCTAATTCCACAGGAAAACCTACACTCTTTACATATGTCTTGTCTTGCTACACATGTCTCAAGGAACATGAATATTTTATAAGTGTTTCTTAAATATAATTATTTTTGCATCAATTCTCGTTCACTCTAATCTGCTTACTCTATTGTATGCCAACACAGTTAATGCTACTAGTAGCTTTGTACCTTTTAGAGCTTTATTATAAATCTTTCTAATAAACATTAAATTACTATTAAATTGGAATTATGTACATTGTGGAAAATAATTCATAACCAAGCAATATCCATATTACAGCATAATTCATTATCTATGAATAGTACATTGAGACTGAACAAACACACTGCTGAAAATATTACTCTCAAGTCCTCTCTCCAATTATGTAGTCAAATCATAAATCTCTATAGTTATACACATGATGTTATCAGAGTACTCCATAATACAAATGTGTCTAAAAGTATTTGCAATACTTCTCTCATTCTATAATGCTTAAAGAAAGATTTTTGAAATAAGAGGAAAATAAAGCTGACTTCTAAGGACCTAATTTATGGATAAACATTATCACTCAGATTGAACAATTTTAAAATGAGCATGTTCCAATGTTGTGATCTAAGAGAGAGGTTATTAAAGATTTGCACTTAGTCCTGTATTAGAGGATTTTGAATTTTAAAGGAGTTAAGTTTGTCTCAGTTGCCCAGGACTGCAGAATTTCAAACTATATTGTCAAGGAAATAAGCTTAAAGTCCATACCTACAGTAACTTTTCAAAAAGTTGAACTGGCAATATAATCCTGGCTTTAAAATGAAAAGATATTGGTTGACATCAAAAGATGTTTGATAAAATTCATAAATGCCATTATCTCTTTAATAGTAGGAAGAGGTCTTTGGGGATGGGACTCAGGATGCAGTGACTGGGACAGAGTGTGCTCTTATGCTAACCACTGCCTAGTCTTCTAGACCATTTTTTAATGCTTTGAATTTCAAATTGTCACAATGTCTTATGTTTTGAATGACATGAACCAAGAGAAATGAAGAAAAAACATTTAAAATTGGTTTTCATGACTCATTTGAGAATAAAGATTTCCTTTACATCCTAAGTAATAAAAGATGATATGTCTTGAAACAGCTGTGGACAATCAGAATGTGTTCGTTTATAAACACGTCCTCGTTGTATATTCTAACACTGATGTTTGCCTATACACTATAAAATCAAGAATTCTAGAGTCAGCTTGATTTCCCTTCATTTGGTTTATGTGAATATATTGGAAGCTGAAAGATAACTTGAAGTTTTTCCATACTGTTTCCCACTTGCCAAGCATTAAATCTGATTCAATATAGATCTTTTAAAAAATGGCTTAAAAAAATAACAACAAATTGAGCTATTTCTCAATGATAGAAAATATCACATTGTAGGAAAACGGATATAGATATTGCAGGCTTTGATGTCTTACCCCTTTCATATTTATACATATCCTTCTTAGTATACACACCTACCAGATTTCAGTCTATTGGACTTTTTCCCCTTGTACAAACTTTTCAACCATTTTTTTTTTTCTTAACTGCTCTGTACAATTACATGTAAAATCATAAGCTACAAATCTCAATAAAAATATCAATAAATGACAAGTGATGTAGTAGTCACTGTTATTAAATGGTAGTACCAAAACATCACATTTCAAGCTATAAGCTAATAATTAAACATGAATTGCTAATTTATTTCTTCACTATTCCCATGCCCTGCTACCCTCTCATTCACACATAGAAAATACAACTTAAGGACTTTTTTTCTTCATGTTTCAGAGAACTGGTATCATCCAAAGTGTCTATAAGGATATTTGTTCTTTCCAGGAAGATAGGAAGTTAAATTGAGAATTTCATGTTTGCCAATGTTATCAAATGTAGTTTTATATCAACTGCCTAATCTTATTTTTATCTCATTCAGGGAAGCAGGACCATCAATTTCTAATGAGCCACTTGTCCAAAAAAAAGTAAAAATATCTGTTGTTGATATGCCATTATTTTGGATGAAGGGCATAATAAACATTGGTGTATGTTATGGATCATACAGTAGACATCCTCTAATCATGTTTCTGTAATGTCATGATTCTTGATTATTATGTTTACTAACTTAGCATCAATAAAATGAGCACAAATATATGCTAGAGAAATTAAAATGAATCTCCTTTTAATATTGAAAATACATTTTATAAGAAATATTCTGAAAAGGAATGGCAAGGTATCAGCAGTTCCTGAGTGCCTAGAACATGGTTGGCAGTGTATTGTTTCATATTCCCAATTATATGATGAAATGGAGTTTTTCATACTCAATTTACAAAAGAAATTGAAATTCAGACCTCACAGATGAAAAGCTACTGAATTTTGAACAAAAATCTCAATCTAAAGTCTATTTGTTTAACCATGCTATATTGCATCAACTAAATGTATATTTGAGAAGAATTAACCTATCCCTTTTATTTAAGTAAGGAGGGAAAAAGGCATTTGTGGAAATGTCGAGCTCTCAAGGACTCAGTTTATGTAAACTCCATTTTACTAAGCAGAAGAGAGGAGGAGGAGTATTATCAAGCCTATACCTTTGAACAAATAGTTTTTCTAAAAATAACTTTTTTTGACTTTAAGTAAATATAGTGTTTTGTAAGTGATATACATGCGTGTATATATGTATAAATACACACACATACCTATTTATATAAAATGTACTTAGAACACATGAAATTCTCATCCAGAAAATTCTAGAACAGTTTCTGAGTTGGTAGTAGATAGACCTTTTGTCTTGTTTCAGCTATTAACACCCCCGCCAAAAAAAAATAAGTTAGAAAATAGCAGTGTTTCTAAACCAAGGTCTAGTTAAGGATCTACTCTGATCTATATTACTAGTTCATCCCATTATCAGAGCACGCATCATAACTAGTTTCTTAATTATTATGTTGCAGTTTCTCAATATTCAACCTTTTCACTGTTTTACCAACTGTACTTCTAGTGCTCTTATGCTGCATTCTGTAATCTGTATTCAACAAGTCTCATTTGATTTAAACTAATATAATTTAGTTTAAATATATCTGAGAGATGCCAGTTTAAATAAAGTAAAATATTTTTGTACTATAGGATTTCAGGAATTTACTGCAAAACTCCAGGAGGAGGATATATTATCCCATTTCCTAAAGCCGGCCCTGAAATCTTCAAGTAATTTGAAGAGCAATACATTGAGTACTATTAGTCCATAACAGTTTTGTGAAAAACTGCCCCAAATATTTTTTCTATAGTTGAGGTTTTCTTTTTTCTGAATACTTTATGTCAATGAAATACTAAAGTATAACTCTTCTAACTATAGTTGGTTCTGTAAATCATGATAAAATATTGTGATAAAAGTTGTCTCCACTAAATATCTGGTCCCAATCTTCAGGTGGAGAAAGAACAAATAAATGAATGTTGCCTTAAGAATTTTGCCCTAACCATAGAATCCCTTAATTCCTATTATCTGATATCAAATATCCATTTGACTGCAGCAACTGGAAACAACAATACTCAACAACATGTTTCTCTTTTATAAAGTGCATGTGAGGTACAGGGGAATCTTGTTAAAATGCAAATTCTGCTTTGTGTTATTCTGGGGCTGAATCTGTGGCTCTGCATGTCAAACAAGCTCTTGGGCATACATATGTGTCTGCTGATTCACCTAGTACCAAGGTTCTTTCACTGTCTTTTCCTCTGAAACACACAGAGTATCACTATCAAAATTCCCCCTTGTTTATTTTTAAAAAATAGGGGATATGTACTAGGAAAGGAGAGAGGGTGTTCAATTTTACCTAAAAAATAAGTCTGTTAATATATTTGGAAATATACACAGTATATTACTTTTTTAATCCACTATTTTAGGTTAAAAATGACATGGGAACCAGGGAGACTGTGTGTATGTCTGTGTATAATTGCATATATATGCAAAAATGTATATGTATATATTAGTAATTGCTTGTTACAAAAAAATATTCTGGCAAAGTGGTCTTTTCCCCATAAACACTTATCTAAAACACACTAGAAATAACTTAGAGAAACAAATATTTTGAGTATGCAAAAGATCTAATTATTACAATTGGTCAACACTATTTTGTCTTCTATTTGTATGGAAAAATGGGAAATAATCACACAGGTATGTATTGCAAATAGGGAAAAAATTAAATAATACCCAGAAAGTAACATCATTTGTTTTTATAGATAAATCTATTTCTAGAGCTATCAATTTATATAACATATATAAATTGTTTCATTACAATGCTAAAACATTTATTGCCAGTGAAGAATCTTTCAATAAAATACCTAATAAGACAAAGGTGAGATCATTTTTCTCTGCTTATCTGAGGTGCTTCATCCAAGATTTACTCCCAGTTACAACAGAAATTATAAATGTCTTATTAAAAAGTATCAAAGATGTCAATGTGCTCTGAAGATTTTATGTATAAATTGAAATAAAAGATTTTATCCATATTGGTGATTGTGTGTTAACTATTAAAGTCATAACACATCATGGTATTAAAAATGTCTGAATAATTATGAATCATATAATACTTATAATGAACATATTCTTTCAGGTAATCACAACTCTTAAAACAAGACTCGTGTGGATCTTTAAAATGTTTATTCTCTATAATTTTGATTGAGGAAGAAAAATTTACTAAATTCTAATTTTTGTTTTAATATGCAGGCATTGCTTCTATAAATGTAAAAACATATTTATACTTAGCATACAGTATAATCCTATCAATTTAGCCATATTCTGGACTTTTGTTTTTTCAGAGACTTTTGATTAGTTTTTCAATTTTCTGCTTGTAAATGGTCTGTTTAGGTTCTCCATTGCTTGCTAATTCAGTCTTAGCAAGTTGTACACTTTAAAGAACTTGGTCATTTTTTTTGGGTTATTCAGTTTTTTGTTATGCATATGTTTGCAGTAGTTTCTTGTGATACTCTGTATTTCTGAGATACTTGTTGCTACTTCTCTTCTTTCATTTCTGATTCTTCCCTTTTTTCTTTGTAAGCCTACCCAGGAGTTTGTCTATTTGTTTATTTTTTCAAAGAACCAGCTTTTGGCTTTATTAATCCTTTGGGTTCTTGTTATGTTTGTTTTTTTTCCCCTAATTCCTTAAGGTTTAAGGTTAGATTTTATATTCCCCATACAATTGCAACTCCCTTATTTTGACCCCAATCCCTCCTTTCCCCACCCCCCATCCCCCTAGAATGTCTCTGGTTCATAGTTGTTTGTTGATTTTGATTTTTACTTTCTTATAGTTATTCTTTTTCCTGGTCTCTTATTTAAGTTTTCCAGATTCCTGCTATGAATGAGACCATCTGGTATTTTTCTTTTTCTTTCTGGCTTATTTTGCTGAGCACGATCCCTTCCAGGGCCATCAATGTTGCTGCAAATTGCATGTGTTTATCTTTTTTGAATGCTGAGTAATATTCCATGGTGTATATGTACCATATCTTCTTGATCCAGTCATCTATTTTGGGGCATTTGGGTTGTTTCCAAAGCTTAGCTGTTGTAAATTGTGCTGCTATAAACCTAGGGGTGCAGGTGCTCTTTGGAATTGATGTTTCTGTGTCCTTTGGGTAAATACCTAGGAGTGGAATTGCTGGATCATATGGAAGCTCTATGTTTAGTAGGTCCAGAAATCTCCACACAGCTCTCCATAGTGGCTGGACCAGTTTGCACTCCCACCAACAGTGCAGGAGAGTTCCTTTTTCTCCACAACCTCGCCAACATTTGTTGTTGCTAGTTTTTTTAATATGTGCCATTCTCACTGGTGTAAGATGATATCTCATTGTAGTTTTGATTTGCATTTCCCTGATTACAAGTGATGTTGAACATTTTTTTCATATCTGCATGAATTTTTTGATACTTGTTTTATAACCCAACAGGTGGGGACTGTTCCAAATGCATATGAAAATAGTGTGTACTAGGTTTTTGAGGTACAATGATTTATAAATACTAAGCCCTTGTGGTCTAAGTCTTAACTAGTGGTCGTTTCCTTCTTGATTATCTCTCTGGTTAATATGTTTATTAATGCAAATGGGGTGGTGAAATGCCCTATTACTGTTGTGTTCTTGCCAATGTCTGTTTTCAGTTTTATTAATAATAGTCATATGTATTTTGATGTTCCTTTGTTTAGTGTATGCATACGGGTAATGTCTTCCTGATATGTTCATCCCTTAATCATTATATAATGTCTTTTCTGCCTCTTATCTTGTTACCCTTTTTTAGCTGGAAGTCTTTTTCATCTAATATTAGTATGATTGGCCCTATCTTTTTTCATGGTCCCATTTACTTGTAGCATTGATTTCCAAATATTTGCTTTATGCCTATTTTTTTCTTTGTAGCTCTGATAGGTTTCCTGGAGACAGCATAATTTGGGTTTTGTTTTCTTATCCAACCAGCCTTTTGATTGAAGTTCAGTTTGTTTACATTTACTATTTTATTTTTTTTTGCTATTTTATTTTTTTTATTTTATATATTTTTACACCATTTTCCACTTTTGCACAATGTATGCATTTTCATCTGGTTAGAGTTCCCATACAATTTCCACCACCCCCTTGTTTTGATCCTACTTTCTCCCCTCCACCCCCAGTGTGTCTCTGGTTTATAGTTGCTGGTTGATTTTGATTTTTATTATAATTAGTCTTTTCTCTGGTCCCTTATTTAGGTTTTCTAAATTCCTGCTATGAGTAAGACCATCCGGTATTTTTCTTTTTCTTTCTGACGTATTTCGCTGAGCATGTTTATTTACACATATTTAGGGTGGTAATTGATATCTGAATATCTGCTGCTGCATTTTTGTCTTTTGATTTCTGCTTCTACTTATTTCTTTGTTTTTAGTTTTTTGTTGATATTCTTCTCAAACAAGAGTTCCTTTCAACATTTCTTAGAAGGGAGGTCCAGTGTTTGCAAAGTCCTTCAGCTTCTAGTTTGTCTGGGAAGTCCTTTATTTCTCCTTTGTATCTGAAGGAGAGTCTTGCAGGATATTGTATTCTTAGCTTGCAATTATTATCTTTAAGTATTTTGGATACTTCATTCCATTATCTCCTTGCCTGTAGCATTTCCTCAGTGAAGTCCAATGTAAATCTGTGGGGGTACCTTTTTAGGTTAGTTGTTTTCCCTCCCTAAGATATTGAAGGTCTTCAATATTCTTTGTCTTAAACTCTTCAAAGGTTCATGACTGTGTCTTGGCATAGATCATTACATTTATATAGCAGGGTTTCCTGGACTTATACATTTGGTTGATTCCCTGGGTTTAAAAATATTATACAATTGGGCCACCCCGGTGGTACAGAAGGTTGAGTGCAGCACTGTAAAGCTGTCCTCAGCCTCTGCAGCATGGGTTTGATTCCTGGCCAGCCTGGGTGATTTCCACATGGTGCAGCAGACCTCTCCTGTCCTGCCCGCTGTTCCCCTCAGCAGTGTATTTCAGTCCTTCTGCCTCTTCTACTCCCTGCTCTGTCTCTGGTGCATTTTCTCACCCTCCCATGCTTCTGGACTGTACCCCAGTGCTTATATAATCTTTAAAAAATAAAAAATAAATTAAAATTTTTACACTATTATTTCCTCGAATAAGTTCCCTGTTCCTTTTTCTTTCTTCCAATTCTGGAAAACCCATAACATTTACATTGCATTTCCTAATAGAGTTGTATAATTCTTGTGTATTTTTTTCATTATCTTCTTCATATTTATTTTTTTCTTTTTCTACCTCAATCAGTTTGCATTTCTATCTTGAAGTTCACCTAACTGATCTTCCAGTTGGTTTATTTTACTTCTGTAGCTATCTGCAGATTTATCTCTTTATTGATCATTTTATATCCTACATCTCTGTTTGTTTTTATTTTCAAATCATGCATTTGCCTTCCTTGGTATTTTTTGTCCATTTGAACAGCATTTTTCCATTTATTTTAATTTCTTAATTATAGCATTTGAACTCTATTATCTGATTAGAAGATAAACTCCTCCATATCTTTGTGGTTGAATTCTGGAAACTAGTTCTATCCTTGTGATGACAGAGTACCTTGAAGTTTGAGAGAGGCTTGTGTTGTTTTTTTTTCTTCCTGCCCATTTTGCTGCTTTAGATTTTCCTATAGTTTCAAAGTATTTGTAGCTATATCTTAGACATCTGCAGTACTTCAAGTTTTTCATCAGATACCAATGTGGTTATATATTTATTTTTTTGAGCTTATGTCCAGAGAACTGAGCTTGTAACTGCTGAGTCAATTGGGATGAGAAAGGCCTCTGTAGACATCTTGTCATTGTTGGGATTATCTTTGTGTTGGGGTACTAAGTCATGATTGTGGCACCACTGATTGCGTTTTTTCTCTAGGGTTTAAACTGGCATCTCTCCAATTTGTGTGTTTTCATTGTGCTTCACAAAGTCATTGCTAGTCCTGAGGTATGAGGGAGGGGAAGAGTAACTCAGTGTACTCTCCTAGTTCTTTTCACTGGTCACCTGGCTCACTGGGCGAACCTCAAATCCTCCCCACATATTCCCCTTAATCAAATTTGTATGATTCCACTCTTTTTGTCTTTCCACTCCCTAAGGCAGCTGACCAAGTGGCAGTGCTATGGTCTATATGGCAACCTACTTCCCTGGACCACAGCTCCAGATGTTTCTCTCCACCTACCACTCGTTTATTGAAGTATAAATCTATTCAGTGCCCCTCTGGAGCAATCTATATTGGTCATGATGTACAAAAGGTACAAAAAATGTACAGTTTTTTTCCCAAGCCACATTGCCTCTCGGTAGAGTATAGGTCTGGGTTAACTTTCAGATTATTCTCTAGGGATTGAAGTAAGGAACCTCCTCTGATGCCATCTGGTCTAATCTCAATATCCACACATGTGTTTTTCTGATACTCCAGTCATTAATTTTAAATTAGGAAGAATTCACAGACATGTATCAGGAATTATTTACATGGAACAAAATCCTCTTGAGTGATCCCTGAAATTTTACTATTATCAGAACCATATGTCTACTCAGTATTGAACATAGTGTCTCAGCTATCCAAAAATATACTCTTTGTGAAGATCACTTGCCTGCAATTCCAAGAAGTGAAACTACACATTGATGTAGGATTTATCATTCAAAATACACAAGAAAGAAAAAAATAAAATTCTTCAGTGTAACTCCTAGACTTACTTTTAGATTCTATAGGCCATCCAAATCACATTGCTGTTTTTAAATTTTAGAGTACAACTAATACTGATTCCTTGAAATTGCTCAAAACAGAAATAGCATGAAGTGCTACATCAAAGGTAAGAGGGAAACTAGTAATTATTCATTAGATAGAAAGATCACTTTGGTTGAGTTCTCACACCCAGTCATCTTCTTCAGTGGTCAACAATAACATATATAATTAGTACATCTAAATTACCTCTCCTGTTAGCACATAATTTTACTGGAGATTGTGATGAAGTGTCAAATAATTTTGCTAGCAGTAATAACTCAGTCAATT